GGGGAAATACCTCCCATCCTCCATGTTCCAGAGCCCCGATCTCCACGCTTTGTCCCTGGCAGTCCCCAACAGCAAGACGATGTCCCCTCACAGCGGAGTTTCTCAGATTCAGACTTTAGTGCTGGTGACTTGGCTGCACCACCAGCACCTTCCGATGTTCCGCCCAACTTTAGGGCACCAGATCCCAAAGAAGTCCAATCAGAGACCCCTCCACTGTCAGCCATAGAGGAGAAACTACAACAGGTACCATATATACCTATTTCCCATGCGACTGGCCTATCGAGCAATCGGACACAACATGATTTAGTCAATTAGGACATGTTCGTGGATCTACATCAGGAATAGGCAACTTCGATCCTGGAGGGACACTTTCCAACAGAGTTTAGCTCCAACCCTAATCAAACACACATGCCTGTGGTTTTTTTAGTGATCTTGTTTGATTAGGATTTGAGCTAAACTCTGCAAGACAGTGGACTGCAAGACTGCCAGGACCGAAGCTGCCCATCTCTGATCCTTAGTGGGACAAAACTTACCATAACCAACCTTTAAAAACAGGGAAATGATAAGTTGAAAATGTTCTATACACCAGAGATCCCAGATGTGACCCTAAGCCTGACCCTAAAATCTAATTGATTGGTAGAGCTACACGGTTTGAGTAGTACAGCATAATTTAGTCAAGCAGGACATGTTCCTGGATCGATATCCTTAGTAGGATCAACAAAGGAGAACTTACACTAACCATAACCTACCTTAAAAAACAGAGGGAAATGATTGAAGTTGATAATGTTCTTCAATCCACTAATTGCAAGGTAACCCTAACCTTGACCCTAAGATCTGATTAGTTGATGAATCCACCTTAATTCAAATTTGAGTAGCACAACATTATTAAGTAGGACATTCTCCTGGATCAACATCCCTAGTAGGACCAACAAAGACCAAACTTACCCTAATCTTAACCTACCTTTAAAATCAGAGGAAACTGGTAAGTCAATAATGTTCTTCATCCCAGTGATCCCAGAGTTTAACATAATCATGACCCTAAAATCTGACTGGTTGATAGATCCACCAAATTACAGACTGAATAGCACAGCATTATTAATTCAAGTATAGGACATGCTCCTTGATCAACACCCTTGGCCAACAAAGACTTACCCTAACCCTAACCATAACCTACCTTTAACAGCAGAGGGAAATAAGTTGATAATGTTCTTCATGCCTCTAATCCCAAGGAAACCCTAACCTTGATCCTAAAATCTGATAATTTGATGATTCAACCTTAATTTAAGTTTGAGTATCACAACATCATTAAGTCAAGTAGGACAGATTCCTGGATCTACATCCTTAGTAGTTCCGGCAAAGGACCTTTCCTAATACCCACACTTGCGGTCTTGGCTACTTGAAGTGCACAAGACTGTCCCATGTCTGAAAAATGTTACTAGTAGTAGAAGTTTACTAGTAAAGTACAAGTAATTGCAATCTTACAACACTATGTTGTAAGTGTGTCCCATCGGGTAATCAAAAGTTCTGTGGCATTCACAGCCATTTGAACGTTTGGGCCAAATACACAAAATAAATCACGCACGTGTGGGTATTGGGACAGGCCCAAAGGCTAAACCCTTACCCTAACCATAACCTACCTCTACAAGAAGAGGAAAATTATGGTTGGCAATGTTCTTCATGCCCCTAATCCCAAAGGTAATCCTAACCCTGACCCTAATATCTGATTGATTGGCAGATCCACTGATTTACACTGAGTAGTATGGCATGATTTAGTCAAGTAGGGCATGTTCCTGGATTGAAATACATATTAGGACCAACCCCTTTCCCTTACCCTAACCATAACCTGCCCCTAAAAGCCCCTGTTCTTCACATCATTAATCCCAGAGGTAAATGTAACCTTGACCCTAAAATTTGATTGGTTGATAGTGATGTTGTTCTAAGACCAACAAAGATGGTGATCCAGGAACATGCTCTACTTGACTAAGTCATGTTAAGCTGTTTGGATGCATTCGATATTAAATATTTCTTAAATACTTGATGTAGAAATTGGTGTAAAACACATTCCCATGTGTTTTATTGTTTCAGGCCCGTATGGCAGAACCAGAAAGGAAACCCTCCCCTTCATTTATAGTGTAAGTCTTTATGCATGGTCTGTCAAGTTTAGCTCAGAAGAATAAAGTACTAAATGCATTTGTTTTTCATTTTTAAATGTATTTATAAATCTTTTCTTTTAGACTGGCACATCATGAAGCCATGCAAATGCGGAGAACACAGATCAGAGGAAGCGACAGTGACAGCGATGAAGACGACAGAGAAGATGATTTTAGTGTAGATGATGATGAAACTGATGACATTGAATGGGGACCTGCAACAGAGCTGTAATACACATGGATCGTACTAACATGGACCTCTCATGTCTTAGTGTGGACATGTACATTTACACAAACAAACTGGAAATATTTTTTTATTTCCAGTGTTTTTTATACAGTGTCCTTATGGACTTGTGATAGATGACTGTAATCTTGGATCGATTTTGAAGATTTGTGACCAGAATTGCTTCCTTTTGTGGGTTTTCTTAGTTTTAATGGATGTGCTGAGATCTTCCTCAGGATTATATGAAAAATAAATATTGCCAGTTGTAATAAAGACAATTTGGGTATGATTTACCCTCTTCAGTAACTTTAAAACAAAACTTTTAAACTCACATGATTATAATGTTAAAGAGTGTGCTGAAATTCATCTTACTACGAAGTCTTCTCCACAATTTTCTGTCGTTAATTCAACTCCGACTGCTTAAAAAGTGAAGGGCTTAGTGGAACCAAATGGAATTGCAACAACAATAACTTGTTTTTTATATAGTTTTTCACACGCTTGAGGTATTCGGCCAATCACAACGCACTGGATAGCTAGCCAATCACAGCACACCTCGCTTTTTCAGACCTATGAGCTTTGTAAAAATCAACGCATTTCAGAAAGCCGGGGCATAGAGTAGAAACAATAATGTACAGTATGTGGAAAATAATGTGTTTTTTTTTAACCTTAAACACATTTCATTACACCAAATACACAAAATAATATTCTTTTTAGCAGAAGCATATGACCCTTTTAACATTCCCCTTTCTCTTAAAGCATTGATCAGGAAGTCAGTCATTTTAAGTGCGGTCTCAAACAAAGTCCTTTTTTAGTGAACTGGAA